CACTGATCTACTCTTTATACAGAGTGTACCAAAGTGCATGAATTATTTGTCTTTATACCATAAATATGGTTGTAAGACAGAACGTAGTTTAAAATGGAAGGTTTGTTACTTATAGTAAACTGACTGCTGTAAATGATTTCGTTAATACTTATGCCTTGGAAAATCATTGAAATTAACGCAGAAATGATGCTAAACAATATTAGCTCTTCGCTTAAGAGATAGCACCGTGGAAATGACTCCAAAACGGAAGGTAAGTACGCTTTGTATAGGTTATAATGTCAGAATCATACTTGGATTCATTGTTAAACTTTACGAAAGTAAATGGAAATGGAAAATATTAGCAGAGAACAGAGTTGATGAAAATGTGCAAACTTTGAAGAGTGTTGTAGTGAACTAACATATGTAATTTAATCACTGATCGACAGACCACCAGCTCGGAGTCTACTTCGACAACTAGTTGTGGTTCCTCGTCCAGCAATTCCTCAAGCTCGGGTAGCGAATCTAGTTCATCGGATTCAGAAAGCTCCAGTAGCTCTGCCAATAGTCAAAAAGCATCCGATACAGAACGAACAAAGAAGAAAACACAGTTTCCCTCTGGTCATCATGGCAAAACTAAAGCCGACGCAGTTCCGGTTCCTTCTTCAGAGAATAAAAGTAAAGAAAAAGTACCATCCAAATCTAGATCTGTGGAATATTCTTCAGAATCTGAGGAATCACCCAGTAAAGCAAAGTCAGCAAAGAGAAAACCACCAGCTAAACCTAAAGCTACTGCCACAGTAGCCCCTGTTGTTAAACAGCAAAGGCCACCTGCTAAATCAGCAGCTACACCTGGCCAGCAGAAAAATACACCGAATTCTAAACCTATCGGTAACAAGCCAAATAAACCTACTGGTAAAATCATATTTAGTTACATTACCTTTCGTAAGATTGTCTCTTTCCTTTTTGCTTAACTTGTATTTTGTTTTTAATAGCTTCTACAAGTACAAACGGGAAAAGTCTAGATAAATCTACAAAAACGACGTCGGAGCCTGTACAAAAGAAATTTAAGAAAAAAAGCATATTCAGTCCAGAGAATAGTAGCGAAAGCGATAGCAGCATTCCAGTTAAGACTAATGCACCAAAACCAGTAAACACTTGTGCAAAATATATAAAGAATCCACAGCCCAAAATAAAATCAAACGATGCAAAACAAAAGGCTACTACTTCGAGCAGATCTAGTAAGTGACGAAGGATTATTTTTCGTTATGCTTCCAATGTTATTATGATTTGTAATAGGCTTGTTTGATCAGGTTTATTGGCGAAATCTGCACAGCCACAAAAGTCTGACAGCTCTGCGAGTTCTAAAAGTTGTTCAGCAGCATCAGGTTCCTCTGGCTCCTCAAATAGCAGCACTGATTCCGAATCATCGGAAAGTGTAGCGAGTCCACAGCCTCGAACGAAGAAAAAAGACACTCAGCAAAGTGCACCAGTAAACGCTATGACCAATGTTCCACCGAAGCGACCATCCGCGACAGTTGCACCTGTAAAGCCACAGAAATGTACAAAACGACAAAGTAAACAAACACAGAGTTGATGTCATTGTACTAAAAAAAAAAAAAATCTGTTGGAATATTCTTTTGAAACTTAGGCTTATATTAGGTACTGTAAAAAGTGAGGACGAGGCCGACGCGTCTGCAAGCGAAAAAGAAATGGACGAGCACGAAGAGATGACTGGTGCTTCGAAAGCAACGACCAAAGGCAAACGGAAACTGCAAACACGAAAAGGGAGCAAATTACTTCAGCTTCAAACAAAGACAGCCAGTGATTCGGAATCCGACGCAGGTATAAATAGATTATAGCGTGTAATTGCTAATCTATCTGCAACACCTTTCCCCATCCTCTCGTGTGTCGAGTCTTAGTTTGAAAAGTATGTGATTCGAAGGATTTCGTTCAAGTATTTTGTTAAAAATTTTGTTACTCAGATATTTTGGCAACCTTGCTAACTATTAGCAACATGTTTACATCCTGTGTGACTTGCATTATCTGTTGATATATCCTTGGTGTGAATTTATTTTGGTTTTCTTGTTTTCATAAGTCGAACAATATCACGTTAGAAGTTGGCTAGCTATTTGTTTTTGTATTTTTCTTCCGATAAGTTCAGTCCCTCCCGTCGACCTTTCGTCACAACACACAATGCCCTATCAGCCTTGACGCTATATGGTAATTGTTTATGGTAGTAGTGTCACCGTTTTCTGGTAGTAAATGTCTCTAGTCGAGCAAAGTAAAATTCGGTAGTAGCATTAAATAGCATTGTGAAAAGAGGCGGGTAGAGAATTTTCTACACACGGTAGATTTAGGACTCTATGCTGCCTCCTTAACACAAAAAAGCAGTATTTGCGGTTCTGGATGGATGGATTGGACATATATATATATATGTAAATATATATGTGGCCCATAGGAATCCAGTGGTCGATGGGACAAACATTTCGTATAAAAAAAAAAAAAAAAAGCATGTGTCCAAGGTGTCCTAAGATGCAGATACAGTCTTTTTGCTTACGGTGGCAGTATGGTTCTCAGGTACGGAATCGGTAGCGTGTAAGCGTATCCTGCAAATTCCGCTGATCCGGTGTGATTTATCGAGAGTAGCCGAGAGCAAGAGGAGCACGAGCAAATCGCCTGTTAAACGTGCTGGACCTAGCACCGCCGCCAGACACGCTTCCGGCGTGAACAGGGTACCGCAAAACAGTGCCATCTCCAACGCTACAGGTGGAAGATCAAGCCAGGGGAATTATAGTCGTGTACGCGTGAGCAAGGAAAGAGAATGCCCGCTAGCGCCGACGTGCGACTCTCGAGGTCATCTCTCTGGGAAACTCGAGTCACATTTCACCTTGGAGGGCTGTCCCTTGTATCACAACACGACGCCACAAGCTTGCGTGTGGGTAATCTCGTACTTGTTAATATAACAGGCCCAAAGGTGTGTCTAAAAGAGACTCTGTGAACTTGTAATGTATGTTTTTGTTCGCAGGGAGTTCTACAAGGAAAGGAAAAAGCGTGAGGAGGAACGGAAGAAGGCTGTAGCCTCGCTGGCTAAAAAGTCTCCAAAGGGAGTGCACCAGACATCAGAGCAGCGCAACTATCAACTGAAAGTAAGAGACTCGAGGACCAAATGGAAAGGAAGCACGGTCGATGGGAACGAAAGCGACAGCGGTAGCGAGCTCCAAGGAAACGAGAAAGACCGACAACCGCGGCTGACGAATCTCACGCCGGATTACGATCTGAAATTATTTATGGAGGCACAAGCAATCGCCAGTGAGAAGATTGTAAGCAATATCTCGTTATAAATAAAGGATGAACCTTACCCGATGTATACGCGATACGGTTTGTCATAGGAGAAGGAACTGAAGGAATTGGAGTACGACGGCGAGGGCAGGAACGGTGGCGGCACCAGGGTCATCGAAATGGGCAAATGGGAGATGGAGGTGTGGTACCAGAGCCCGTATCCCGAGGAGTTTAGTCGAGCTCCTAAGCTTTATTTATGCGAGTACTGTTTGCGGTACGCCAAGAGTCGTCAAGTGCTGAGGAGGCATCGAGAGAAATGTTTGTGGAGGCATCCACCTGGACACGAAGTATACAGGTGGGTAAATAGACCCAGCGCTGAGCCTCCTCTCCGGATCCAATAGCTAGCACGAAGTTGAACCGTAACCATGTTTCTCGATCCAGGAAAGACAAGATAGGCGTATGGGAAGTCGACGGGAAGCGTTACAAGCAGTACTGCCAAAACCTCTGTCTACTAGCCAAGTTCTTCTTGGACCACAAAACGCTCTACTACGACGTCGAGCCTTTCCTCTTCTACGTGATGACGATTGGTGACTCCGAAGGATGTCACACGGTCGGCTACTTCAGCAAGGTGAGTCTTACTTTTTCCTCTGTGTACAAGAAGAAGAATAGATGGGATCGGTACGCGCGTGGTGTCCCTGAGAGAGATCGTCTCTCCTTTATGGGCTCCGTTTTTCATTTTATACCGGGTATCGTCTCGAACCGATGACGAAATAAAATTTGATTTAAGGAGACTATCATTCTCAGGGTCGCTCTATACACTTTGAACTGGTTTTAGTTTTAATATTATCTCGATTCGATTCTGTGGTGGGAGGGTAACAATAAATAATCATTTAACACAAGTATTATATTAAATGGAGAAATATTTAGTAGGGAAACGTTGTCGTAAATTGTTTATTGATACAGATACATATATAGAAATGATGCGTGGTGAGCGAATAACGAATGGAAAATTGATATAATATTCGGGTAAAATCAAATCGATCCGGATATAAAAGAAAAGTTTTCGAGGCGTTTCTTATTGGCACGGACCTCGTTGCGACCAGCTATCAACGAGAGATATTAATGCGAAGCACGTGCGTGTACGTGCACGACTGTGCGGTGTCTGATGTACTTGTGTCAGTTAGCACTTGCGTAAACGGAACCCACGTTTACGTAGTAGGCGTTTCTCGTATGACACATGGAGATAACATTAAAGTCGTTCAAATCATTCGATATGACCATTCTCGTCTCTCGGTTCTTAAACAATTCTTTTATCTATTTCCATACCTTACTAGTATCGCTCATCATTCCTTAATGAAATTATAACAAGTTTATAACTTAAAGAGTGAATATTTCAGTATTCGTCAAGAATTCATAAAAATCAATCTTCAACTTTCTAACTTTCATTCGATAAATTCTAGTTTCCCGACAAAGATCCGAAACGGAAGATGGAATCGTCGCAGAAAGAATACGATTGCCGAATGTTCTGGAAAGTCTAATAATAGATTTGATTCGAGACTCGAGACTCGAGACCGACCCGTTAATCTTTCATTACGGAAAACAAAAAGCTATCGAATACTATGTACGGATAATTTACTCGAATCGGTTATAACCTTTCGAGTGGTAAATACTCGGGGTCAAAGCAATTCATATGCGTGCTCTCATCAGTTGCGGTTTCTGTAAACGGAATTTAATATTTTTTAATTAATAAATGTAACAAAATGATACGAAAATCGCTAATAATTGTGTCTGAAATAAAAGATCGAAAGGAAGGATTGACAAACGAATATATGCGTTCGTAGCCAGGAAGGTCAAGTAGGGCGGCCCCCGGTTGTATCAACTTTTTCATCCTAGATATTAGAATACACCCTGCGCGTTGAATTGGAACTCGTCGCTTTTCCTTCTCGGTTTACCACGGCTGGTATTTAACGGCGCAGGGATCACACGGGCAACGGTGTATATCGGCAAGAGGGTGTCTCGTATTTCTGACCCCTCTTCGCCAGAGCACTCCCTGGTCTGGTCGCCCAGGAGGTCGGCCGGAGCGCGAGCTCTACACGCACGCCTATTTACTGCGGAACAGCATCGCCGGAGTCGAAATCTTTACCGACGTTCAACGACCTCTGACCCTGGCAAGACGCGCCATTCCTCACCCTCCCGTCCCTCCCTCCTCGGAGGGGGAGGGTGACGAAAATTTCCTTCGGAGTCGAGCAAACGTTTACCCCGCTGCCGCCGCCACCGCCACCGCCACCGCCACCACCGGTTCCCTTTGTCTTGCTCGTTTTCCCGTGACGTCTTCGAGAAAACGTTCTCTTATCCCTCCGAGGGTGTGTACGTATACGCGAACCCAAAACGGCTCGATAGTCCGTCCTCCCTACGGACGGGGACAGACGGAACTTTGTTCAACTAATAGATGATTCGCAGTATTTATTTTATGTAAGGATTACAATTTATGTTATATTTGTATTTTATTATAGTTTATTATAATTTAAATAAAGATAGTTTATATATATGCAAAGGTAGCAATGCTTCGTACCTGTTCATTAATGTTAGTTACACGATAAAGAATTGTTCATTTGAAAAGGGAAACAAACATTTTGTTACTTTAAGAGTTACTTTAATTTTTGTTACTTAAATCGTCATAGCGAAGAGAATCACATTTATATTTAAATTCTACTTGTTTGTATTACAAGTTGCGTTATAGCCGTCTTGTTTTCTTTACTTTCGCGAGCAATACTTATTATCTAGTCATGTCATACCGTAATTTAATCTTCAATGTTTACTGAAAGATGCAACTGGATTAACAAAGTTTTGTTGTAAAAAAAAAATGAGCATTGTAAGTAAACAACCAGCAACAGTTAATAGATTCCAATATGTAGACACTATAAAGTGTTAATTAAACAGATGATTTTTATAACTATGTAGATAGTCATCCTTCGCTGCAACTTGACGTACTCTCCCAGCTCTACAACTTAATGTCCTACCCCCGCAAATTGGTCACGATGAAGCGCGATCGCGGCAAAATGGGGACAATAATTCCCGATATCGATCGTTGGACGTTGAAATTACTACAAAGGGTCCTGGCGTGTTCTTACCGAGCAACAAGATTGTGTTACACACCTTACAAAAGGGCGTACCCCGCGCGAGGCTTCCTGCATCCGCAGCGGCGGTGGCATCGGCGGTGGTGGCGGCACAGCACCACCAGCAGTAGCACCACCAGCAGTAGCAGCAGCAGCAGCACCACCACCACCACCACCACCACCACCACCACCAGTAACGCAGAGTCAAAATCTTTATAGACGTTCAATGACCCCGACCCTGGCCAGACGGTCGTGGGGTGACGGTGGTGGCGGCCGACGTAGAGAGAGGGATGACGGGAGGGCGTACGTACGCTATGCGCTTACGGCGTGTAGTGGCAGGTGGGTGGATGTACGGTGTGGGGAGAGGAGGGCACGGCCGAGGGCGGTAGTGGTAGCTGCATAACGGGGGATGGTGGTTGCAGAGGACGATGGGGAAGGGATGGTAGGGCGGCAAAGGGGGGGGGGGGGGGGGAGAGAGGGCGTCGCCTGGCATCGGGTCGTCAACCTTTCTGCAGCACTGCGACGTCGGGGTCGTTATTATTTCCTCCTTCCTCTCCGTCGTTACGTCTTCCCAGTGCCCTGCGTGTCTTTTTCGGCGACACCGTCGTTTCTTCGTTCTCGATCTCTTCCCGTAAACGTATCCATATAAGATATCTTCCTCGCGTGTTCTTTTATCCTGGTCCCCTTTGTTATCGCACGCTGCTTCGACGTCTACTCGGTCTCCGTCTGGTGCCGTTTTTATCCCCCCATCGTGGAAGATCGCGAGGCTTTCAACGCAATTTACCCGGATTTTTAACGGATTCGACCTTTGATTGCTTACTAACGACCTTTCAAAAAACGTCGTTACATTGCATTCCACCTAAATCAATTCATAGATAACTATGGTTGTCTCTCGCGATTCGCGAATCTTTTTTCCATTGTACGTATATTCGTTACTTGTACATTTCTAAGAATATGCCTTAAACAGAATTCAATTCTCCATCAAGAATCATAATGAAAAAGAACTGTATCGAGTATCCGTAACGCGGGGCCAGTTTAAAAAGCGAGGCAATACGAGGGGTTGAGATTCACGGTTGGTGCTCCCGGTACCACGTTCGCTCGTCTTCCTCGAGGGGGAAACACCATCGAAAGGAAAGACGCGACGACGCGGTTCGCGAAATCGATCGACGCGTTCAGCAGGCGTGGATGCCTCCTCGCGAGTCGCGTCTTGCGGTCTCCTCTGGCCGACCTCGAATAATCCGGACGTCGGCTTGGAGTGTTCGGGTCGTTGACCCCGGGAGCGTAGCGGCCATTGACCTTGAGTAATCCGGACATCGACCCCGCGGCGTCGAGGGTACGTTAACGGCGGGATCTAGACGGCGACCTTGAGCGATTGTTAGCGCACCGACCTTGAATGATCGCGCAGCACCACGTTCAGACGCGAGGCGACCTCCAGACGAAACGCTCTCAGAGTTTTTCATGGGGAGGGGCGGAGAGAATAATCCGGGAGGGGCCTCCACGGTCGGTGAATTTACAAATTTCGATATTAATACGGGCTTCCGCCTTGTCCAGTCAAAAAATAACTAACGTATACAATTTGTTTTCTATAGTATCCAAAGTTGTTAAGTATCGAGTCCGTACAATTTAATTTTAATCACATTTTTTTGTTTGTTACTTTATCTACGATACGTATGAATTTTTGTAATTGGAAAGCTAACGGAAACTTTTTAATTTATAAGCTGTTGCTTATGGCCGCGTAAAATAAAACTATGGTGGTCCGTGTCGAAAACAATGGAGCACGGAGATGATTCGAAACGCGAGGTATAACGAGATTCTTATTCTACGTATTATCCAAGTGCTGTCGGGAGTACTATTAATGTAGCGCACTGATATTATATTACAAGTAGAACTCTATTTATTTGAACGTATCACGGGACAAGCAGGTTCGGATAACTAAATGATTCGTATAGCTCGAGTTGACGAATCCGCATAAGCGCTACGTTGCGTGAGCTCAGATAATAGGAGCTCAGCCCACCAAAGTGTTCGAATACCCAAGTACCGTAGCGAGTTCAAACTCCACTTTGATTTCTTCCGATTTCAAGGAACCGCAGTCCTTGCTCGAGAGAGTGAGAGAGAGAGAGAGAGAGAGAGCCGAAGAATAATGCAGGGATTAAATATGATTCTGGAGGACACTTATAATTACTGTTTACGACGTGGACGATAACGGCCTGGTAATCGTAATGCAACACGGGGCTTACATTCGCAAAGTCGTATTCCTTTGGATCCTCGACGAAAAAAAATATAGGGAAAAATAAAAGAAACGCTTGTCGCGTGAAATCCAGACGGAACCGGTTTTGGGGGCCATCGAGTCCCAAGATACGCGCAACGAGGCCCTGTCCTGGTCCTGAAATCCTTGCGCCTTCTACCGTCGGGAGGATCGAGCTTGTTCTAGCGAAACCAGAATTTCGATAGCCTTCGTTTTTGATTCGCCGATCATCGTCTGCGTATCGGATTATACAGGCGGTGCGTGTAATCGAGAGGGCCCTCCTTCCCTTTGCACACGCGAATGTTCCTCGAGAATCGTGTATCGTAACGCTGCAGTCATCTTCTAATGAAACGGGGGGGTTGCATCATCCTCCACGAGGACGAGGGTAGAGACGGACCATGGCTGACTTTCACGCTTTATCAATCCTTCGTGGTCTTTTTCGTACTTCCTACAACGGAAAGGTTGCTTTTGATATCGTTAAATACGACATGTAAATAGTTTTAACGATTGTACAAAGCGATACAACATGCATGTTACTGTTGATACTTTATACGTATATTCTTGCACTTGGATTTCTAATCTCATAAACTTGCCTATATTTCGCTTGGTCGTAAATGCATAAACGTCCCTAGTCTACAAATAATTCCGAGGTCCGAGTTTCTTAATATCAGATTTGTAACTTAATATAACAAAGAAATCTCGATACAAAATGATCGACAGTTTGAGAGTCCAGTCAACTCCCAAAGAAGGCGAACGAAACAAAAGAGATCACTCCGACGAGCCAGAAAAATTGACAATAGGAACAGGTCGGACGGTTTTCAGTCTTCCACTGGTCACTGAATCTCTGTGCACGGGAGGTTTATGGGGATTCGAGCGAGCAACGTGATTGGAATACGTCGATTTCACCTGGCAGATTTATTCCCGCTTTTAAGAGGCTCGTCTCATTCTTAGAGGATACTCTTTCATCCGTATCATGGGACTGCGAAAGGACAAGGGGCATTGTGGTGTAGGTGCCGGTGTGTTCGACATGCGTGTCGTGTTCCTCGATTCTTCGCCGTTTTTTTTCCCAATCTCCCCCTCTACTTTCGCGCGGGATCCTGTCTGGAATACCTACGTAAGAGGATATGCCCCGTCGCGTCGTCTCGTTTGCTCGGGACACGCCGCGTTATTCGCAACTCGCGTATATTCCGTCTTGCCATGCGTCCAAGAGAGCTGGGGAATTGTATATTGGAAGCAGATACATCTTCATCGACGCGTTAATTGCCCGGGGCTTTTGTTTCCAGACGGTGTCGATTTCCTCTCGTTTCCAGACCCTCTTAACTTTCGTGTCGACATGCTGTCGACTCGAGCACATCGTTCCTGCTAACGGGAAACGCGGTGTCCTGCCATTTGCTTCTGATCCTTTTTCCCTTTAAATAATAACCTACGTGGTTAGAATTGTTTTTGGTTGCCAAACAAGAGATAGAAAGTGTACACGTATAATATATTATTACTTATTATAGAGTAATAGAAAATACATGTATGTACATAATCCTCCGCTATAGTTTCACTGGATCAGTAAAATAATTTCGCGTATGTCGAATAGCAAACTTGCAAATTTCAAACGCTCGCCAGTGAATCTGCTAGAAAGTTCGATCTAAAATTAGTCGACGAGTTTCCGAAACAAATTCTACCGATATAAACGAACCGCGTCGGATTAAAAAAAGCCAGACGAGCACGATAAACGTCGCGAGAAGAGAAGAAGATCGTGGAAAAGCAGCGAAAATCAGTAGACGGTGTATCCGTGGAGACGCGTTGATCCGCCAGCCAACTCGTTTGACTAACTTCCGCTGGTGTGCCAGTTAGCTCGTCACGAACCGTTCCACTCTATCTAGTCCTGAATAATGCATACAGAAATGAAACGGCCCACCTTCTAGGAACGAAGAAACGACCGAGGGGAGCTCGCAGCATATGAAAAAAACGAGAGGATAAAAAGAAAAAAACGACAAAAGTGGAGGAGCAAGAGGGCATCGGGGGCGTAGCGAGAAAAGGATTAAGGGAGATCGGAAAACGATGGCGGTCCGATGCGTGTAACGCAATAAATAGACAGGAGCCGACGGGAACGTTTATATCTCTGAAAGAGAAGAGAATTCGAAGCGTGCACCAAGACGAATGAAAGCAAGAAGAGGGCCCCGAGGAAGGTAGGTTCGGCAGGGAATGAAAAAGGTAACGAATCGCGTTGGATCGAGCAATGGTACATGTATATTCCAACGAATGGATGTCGTTCTGAAAATTGTCGAGCTTTTTGTTTCGTCGTATGTTTCCCTCGTCTGCTGAAGCGAAACGGGCCGATTTCGACGGAGCGTGTCCTCGAGTAAGGCACCAAGGAACGATTTTTGTTGCGGCGCGGGCGGCCCGTTAACACGGTAATTGGAAACTAAAAGAGGGAAATTCAGCGAGGCAAGTGGCTGCCGCCGCGTACCCTTTCGGAAGAACGAGAAGGACCGTGAAGAGCCCCGGGTGTACATAACGCGTAAATAGTTGGACCCCGGGGCGTTTATATCCGAACGCTATGGAAAGGAGGAAAGGATCGGACGGGAGGGTACCAAAAGAGGCGTGGAAGACGCGGAGGGCCGCAGTATAAACGCTCAGAGGATCTCTTTGAGTGGAGAGAAATCTGATTTCGAGGATAAATTTATTTACTATGAAATTTCTGAGAGAAATTTCTGAGAGAATCCAATCGAGCCAAAGGATAGGGATAAAGGAGGAGAAATTACAATTGTCAGAAGAACGCGTCCAACTCCAGCCAAACCTAGCTACACTGCGAACCAGAGCAGAAAAGGATAACGATGCAATTGTTTAACTTTAAACCGAACTTTAATTTAAACTCGATTGATAACGGCAATTATCACACCTCCTCGTCGTCTCTCGACATCAAGACCGATGTTTAGTATCGCGAAAGGAGAGTTGGCGTCGCAAGGATTGTCCAGCGCCTGGTTACGTAATTTCCTTAAAAATATCCTGCAGACGCGGCACGAGACGGGTAAGGAGGAGAGGTTGGCGCGAAAGGGACTGCAGGGAGGCAGAAACGGGAAAGGGATGACGTAGGGTAACACCGGGAGTACGAGGACGAGTAGTAGTAGTAGAGGTCGTCGATACGATACGCGGCGGCCTCTTGGAGAAGAGGTTGGGGTAGGCTCGCCCAACCCTCCACCTCCGTATCCACCTCGGTCGAATTTCCCCTCGACAGCCCTCCTCGTCCCTCTCTGCGGAGCCTCACTGCCTCCACCCCGCGGCTGGGCTCGATCGATGCCAGACAGTCCTGTTCACACGACCAAATCCCGTCGAATACACATCGTTCCCTACAAGTTGGGGTAGGGTAGCGCCTAGGCCTCTACCTCTACCTCTAGCTCTAGCTTCTGCTCCAACTTTACCCCGCCTCCTTATCCTTTGCCCGTCGTCGCCGCGAGTTTTACTCGAGCTTCTCATCCTCCAGCCGTGTCTCGTCCCCTTCGTCGTCCTTTTTTCGCGCGTACTCGACCACGATGTCGTTATACGCCTCGTGTCTCGTGACGGAGAGCCGCAAGTGTACCGTGGCGGTTTTCAGTTTCCCTGTGCCACCTTGCCGGGGCGTCCCCTCCGTCCCTCCTCTCGCGGACAAGGAAAAATCCACGTGGCCGCGAACTTCCTGCTCCGGTATATACCATCCAGAAGAGTCGTCGCCTCCTGTTTGCGCAGATTCCTCGGACCGGGCTCGTCCTTTGCCACGGCGGACCTTGACCTTTGTTCCCTATGAACGAAACTATATCGGGTCCCAAACCATGGGCCGCTACCGAGGCTCACACTTGGTTCCTGAGGTCACGCACGATGGACTGGAAACCCCATTTTTATGAATACTACACCTAATTAATATATATATATATATTCACTTGTATCGTAAACGCATAAATATAATTCGACTATGTGAATAAACTATACTGAAAAAGAAATGACGAAAGATATAGCAGCAAACTTTTGTTAAAATCCACGCGTGTGGTCTCGTGATCCGAAATGATGGAAGAAACGAAACCCGTCGATCGTAAAATTTCATCTCGTCCTTGGGTTACACCGAAATGATCGAACGTGTTTCATCGACACCGTTTCGCCGAGCATCGACTCTGCGGACGAAAATACATCTCCGAGGGGAAAACCCGTGCCTTTAGAGACTTCCTACGCTCGTGACGTCCGCGACCACTCTGTATAACCCGTGTCTTGTTGCTCCTGAATAGAATCAGGAACTACTAATTGAGAAATATCTCCTAGTTGGGAAAATTCGCAAGAAAATCTGTAATCGATTAAAAAGAAGAATTAGTTTCGACAATTTTTCGTAGGAAACTAATCAGTCTTTTTCTAAATCGGCCAAGCAGCAAACGTTGTTCCATCGTTTGGAAAGTTTCGACTTGTGGTCCGACGCGTCGCGATCGATTCGCCGTTGGACGTTACGCAGGAAATCTACAAGGGGTCCACGAACGAACAACGGACGCTTGGGCTCCAGCCAAAAGGAAAGTGGTGTCGAGAAAGGGGCGAATGAGCGACGTCGATTAATAAGTCTGTGCAGAAATTTTCACGCAGACCTACTCGAGGTGGGGTAACCAAGATTTTTCTTTGGATTCGAGAGCTCGGGGATAAACCGTGTGTCTACTCGACCCTCCACTTTTCCTAGCATCCGTCTCATTGATAAATTCACAACGTCCCTCGAGACGCCAGCCCCTATCCGGACACGCGGACCAAAGAAATCTGAAGGGGCGAGCTGCTCGACTCGTTTATTGTTTTCTGTATTCATTCTTCGACTGCGTCCAATCCCCCTTATCAACCCTCGGACGATGGACATATATGTATAGACATGTCTGGGTCAGTTCTGAACAATAATTTCTCTGATAATATTTCAGAAAACTCTGCACAAAGATAAGATATTTAAACAAAAATTAACTATCTCTCTTCTACCGACTAGAAATCGTGTTTAGGGTTTAATAGTTAAAAACTACTCCAAGACTCTCGAATGGGCCAGAAGATAAAAACGATAGAAATCAAAACTTGTATATATACTAAAAAAAAGTGCCAAAAAAAGTCCCAAATAAATATAGATTCGTATTCCTAAATGAACATTTCATTTCAACGAGTTCAACAGCCCTCGTTTCGACGCGAATCGGAGAGAGCTCTTTTAAAAGGTTTTTTATCGAGGAAATGTTCACTCTAACAGTCTTATTAAATCTAAACAGTCCTAACGGTTAAAAGATGGTCGCGTGAAACTTGGCGTACACCCCGTATGTCAAGAGGAACGCTTTGTTCGGTATAAAGAAAGTGGAGGAGGAAACTCGGTGCATCTAAATATAGAAGTGACCGTCGCGAGGAGCTGTATAACCTTTAAGCGACGCTCACATCGTGTCTTGCGCGCTATCGAAGAATTCGCGATGCGAATTGGATCACAGTCGAGGCAAAAGTTGGTTCGAATAATTGCTCGACGAATAAAAACTCTGACTCGCGGATAAAATCAAGTTTCTGTAAGAGCGAGGAACACCACTGGAATCAATTGAAATGTTTTTGCTCAAACAGCTTACTCTAACTTTCTTTCATCTTCTATCTGCTTTGTAATTGGACTTTAATTATAGCCAGATATGTTAAAATTATAGAAAGTTTTTTAGAAGAATCTTACGAGACAATTATGTTCAAATAATTGAATAATTTGAATTTTCGAGTGTTTTCTACTTGGACAATTTAGAAATGAAATATTTAGTTGGCCGGATGCGACACATGTGGTCCAACCGTGATCACGAGGCACGTGGATGTTTAGACTAGCGCTGCCTATAAATTTCTGTTATCTTTTGTAATCGAAACGCTCTTGGTCAGATAGGAGAGTACACGAGAGTTGATGTCGATAGTCATCCGATGAAATCCAGTTAATCCGTCAATAAGGTGGATCGCGATAAATGTTAGACGTAACACATCTTCTATTTGCTTTGCGCTAAAAGTGCGAGTACACGAATTTTACGTGTAAATCGGATATAATCCGTTGACGCGAAGAGTGTTTCGAATAAAAAGGGTATTCTATCGTAGCTCGTGAATTTTCTCGTTCTTTATTGCGATCAAAAATTGTAAGAAGCCAGCCAAGTGGTTGTGGTTTCAAGTTCGACGAGTGAAAGAGACGTTGGACAATTGTTTTATTCGCCTTATTCGCTCAGCCGTGCAGACGTTCGTTCACCTACGCACGACTCTTGGACGTCCGACGTCGGTTGTATGCGCCAAAGTGTTTATGAACGCTCAAGGAACGAAACAGATATATGCGATGGATGCCTTGGTCGCCGCCTGCTCGCTCGCTCGCTCGCTCGCGTTCCAACGCCTCTGTCATCGCGCAAAACCCTCTCGCTCGCTCCATCGGCGCTTTGCACTTTATGGTACGATGATACGCAGAAAAGGATACCGACCGATTGGAAACCTTTTACGATCGACGCCACTTGCGTCGTGACTCCTTTCAGCGACCACGATCGACCAACGGCCGCGAGAGGCAATCGTGGTTCCATGGAAGAGCCCAAGTTCCGTGGAAAGCTTATCACTCGACGACTCCCAGCGCGTATATCGCTTTGTCGCATTGCCTGACGAGAGAACCGCCGTGCCGCACGCCGACGTGGACATGGAGAAAGGGACAGAGAGCAAAGGACGAAGAAAGGGCGTGAAGATTCGATCAATTGCTCCATAAACGATAGGTCTGCTGTGCTCCTCCACAATCCCTTTCAAACTATCGTTTTCAAACTCTTTTTAGGAATATACAGAGTGTTCCATATAACTCGGTTAACGTTATAAATACCAATCATAAGTGTACCTATTAAAACACATGTTGCCAAGCATGTTTCGTCTGTTGGATCGGCACCCTGGGATAAGTGTTTGTCTCAAGTGGATCTGCGGGCCTCCTCATTGTTCGAAAGGTTCGCGTGCTCGGCATTCTTGGTTAAAGGAAATCTGAAATCTGCAAGCGAACGGGCTCGAAACAGACTCTGCTATTAATCCGCCTGGCATTCGTGGTTTTCCTCTCCTTAAACGGAAATCGGGACACGGTTCGTTTCGCCGCAACGTGACTCACAATCGACCGACACCGTGAATCGATCCACGTTAGAATCTTTGGTCGATTTTCTGAGAATATTGATTGTTTGAGAGTCAATAATCTTTGTTTCGTATCAAATTATTTCTCCTTTTTGCGACAATAGTAAATAGAGGTTGTACCTTATCGGTGTAGGAAACTTTCTTCGAATCATCCCTAATAAAAAAAACCGAAGGGAAATAGCACGGAAAGGAAAAGCAGAGCGCGAGGACCTTTCCTGCGTCGCACGTCCATGGTGGGGGGACATCGAGACGGCCGTGAACGGAGCAGGGACTACTGACCCAAGGACGTCGCGGGCCCCAGATTCTCGTCTTCTCTTCTCCTTCTATCCGTCGGTTTAGCTTCCTTGCACTTCAACTGTCGCAACGTTTCTTCGTCCCCGGTATAAAGTTCATCGTGGCTCTTCCCATACTTGAAAAAACTCGAGGCTCGATCCAAAGTTTAGTCAGAAAAATTCCACTTGGCACAAAACCTACTCAAAAACAATACTTACAAATTTAAAACAAACATTCCATTAGAATCTTCAAAACATGTTTACGTTCGACTTAAATTTCAAACGGTGTGTACGGACGTTTCGAGCGTGCTTTTGTTTTTGTTTTTTTTTTTTTTATCTCCAAGGTTGCAACTGAAATACACACAAGCGCGAATGTATTTTACTCTTCATTCGTTTCTCTGATATCTAATTCAATTCTAAGTTGAAGAATTAACCTACGAGGATCCCATATTCTGTCTCTCGACAGTATACCCTTTCACCTATTCGATGAACAATCATAATCCTCGTTCGTAGGGCCCAAAACCTTTTTCTTCTCCTATCCGCGCTTTCGCTTCTCTCTTTCTGGCCCAGCTGACGCGAGCCTCCTTCTTCTTCTTCTTCTTCTTCTTCTTCTTCTTGTAACGTCGAATATGCACCAACACCATGGCCCGAGTCTTCTCGAGTTGTGCGTCCTTCGAACCGTTGCTGCCCCACTCGCCAGTTAGCAACAGCACGACTGCCACGGCCGGAAATACCGGGTGTTCGAGTTGTATATACCAGGATCGTTCTTGGTCGTCGAAATGGGACCGAGGGGCGTGGAATGATTAACGACGGATCGTACGCACGAGGTGGCCTCGACCATTTGACGCTGGATACGCATATACTCTCAACTCTGACGAATTTACGAATCGAAATCGTTTCGCTACTGGATCATTTTCCATGTAGATTCTTCGTTTCTTCAATAATTTCTGAGATATTCTCTATACTATTATACATGTATAGGAAGGGGCCCACGCTCAGAAGTCGTAAGCGTTTTCTACTTACTTGCACAGATCGATTAACGCGTTGATCGCCACCCGTATACGGATGACAGAACTTGTCGTTGAGGATCCGAACAAATGAACTCTGACGGTATCGTGGCAAAGACAATAAATTTGGATAGGTTTACGTGGATTTTAGTAACATAGTAGATGGTATAGTACATGGTAATTGCGATTTGTCAAGTGTGACCAACGAATTATGTTGATATGTAATTTTACATAAAATTTATCTAATCTCTGGCATGCGCGATACACGGAACTCGTAGTGTGTTAAAGGCGTGCGCCCATTTGGTGCCACGGTAAAAATACGTTGTCGAAAAGTTAACATGTTCATGGTCGCGAGTCTCTATTATACGGGGTGTGGTAAAATTGATGATCCCAACTTTTGACGAATACAGATGGATCCTTCGAATTGAGCAAAATGGACATGGAGCAAATGGATCTAAAAGGACATCAGACAAATTTAATTCCGTTACCTCGAGTATCTGCTTCGGTACCGATTGCTATGCCAGCTTCTCTTGCCAAGAAATAAAGGGAAATCCGGCAATTCTTGAACGTGTAGGAACTTTAATGAAAAAAGAAAAAAAAGTGTGGCAAGACATGCATCCAAATGGGTGAACACACACTTTGAAGCTTTTCTCTAATTAAATAAAAAACTAATTTACTACATATTAAATGACGTTTTTTTATGGTAAAAAATTCGTCGACAAAATAATTTCCTCGTTGAGCGCAAAACAGATGCAGTTGCACATGTACATACGAAAAAGTTCCTAAAGAAATGGTTGAACCATATCCGACCTTGGCCATATAGGCGTTCATGTGTTTAAACTACCGTATCCGATGAACGTCGGATAAGAGCCGTTTCTTCAACGTCGAGTTACCGTGCTGTCGGTGAATGTCACGGACTAGTCAATGCTTGCGCATCGTATACAGGGTGATTCTAATGTCCGAAGCACGCTGGTTGTATTCCAACAGTTTACCCTATGTGGTTTGCTTGGCAATTATTTCGGGTGTAGAAATGAATGATGTGTCTTTACATTCGAGGGTTTAAGATAATACCTGGAACCTCCTTGGCGTCTCTGACGCGTTTAATGAAACATACTACGGCCTGAAACCTGGTCGTTTGGAAATATCGATAATCCGTTGTGTTTTCGTGTGACGAAGGTCACGACGCATCTTCGTGTCGCATTAACGTCACAACGTTCGCGATATTGTGTCTGTGGTTACACATGCGAGTGGTTGAGCGTCTGGCCGAAGCGTGTCGAGTGTGCTAACGCGCGCTGAACAAAAACATTATTCAATTTTTTTCCACGTAAACACGTCTGTGTTCCTACTATTTGGATGAGAGCCACTTATTGCGCCGCGAAACGCCAAACTCGATAACCTTTGATCCTCCCAATACCTACAGGGAGTACGCAAAACTTTAAACGTTTTCTTTTTTTCTGTTGAAATAAGCGATTCGATTGTTTTTCTATCAGAGGCATGTTCGATCAGAGTTTTATACTCGGGAGTAAAAGGAAATAATTGTACTTGTCGATTCACTCTTCTTCCATTAAAATGCATTTTTTTAATATAAGAATTATGTAGAATTTTGAAGAGGAGAATCGACGAGAATGGATTCGATGATGTAAAATAATGGAAATGTAAAGCATGCACGGTGTATGCCAGGATCCCCCGATAGACATATTTATCGTCTGGCGACGCCGGCGAGTCGTTTCGTCCGAGAATTCTGAATCATCTTTGTTCTATTCCAGGAAAAGAACTCTTTCCTCAATTACAACGTATCCTGTATTCTGACGCTACCGCCTTATCAACGTCAGGGTTACGGCCGGCTCCTCATCGATTTCAGTGAGTACAGCCTCGTTCTTTCGTTTTATTTTTATCTCTTCTTTTCTTTCCTCGCGCACGCACGTCCGTTCGACCTTGGCGCGTTCAGAGAGACAGAATGACGACATCATCCGGACGAAATCGAAAGGATAACCGAATTAGGAGCCGGAGTTTATAGGAGGAACCGCCTCCGCGGTTTCGATGGCGTGGTTTCGTCGACGTTGCGGTCGCTACGATCGAAAGCTACCGTCCGGCGACCGGCGACCGGCGACCGGCACGCGTACAATTCCTCGCAGAGGTTCGTTCAGCCTCTGTCGTCGACGAACCACGAACGAAGCAAAAATATATATTCAACTGATAGAGATGGTAGTCGACGTTTCTCAAAGTTTTCAAAAAATTCCTTATGGATCTACAAAAGAAAGAACGGCAAAAAACACCCGGAGAAAATTGGTTAGGATACCTCCTTAGCAATCCACGTGTTAATTTCCAACTATATGTATATTCCTACGTGACGGTAGTTGTTCGCCAGAGATTATAGCGGTAAAGGTAATAATGGTGGCGCGCAGATACAGAATCGTTGCTCTCGGTGCCGAGATGAAAGGCAAAGAAGATTCCGAAAATCGAGACGACTCGGTTGGGATTCCCCGCGGCCTCGATCCACCGAGTAGACGGAAAAGAAAGGTCCATCCAACCCTCTTCCCCGTTGTTCTCTGTTTATCCGTCTGCTCGAAACGTCGCGAAGGAAAGAAACGGGTTAGCAGTTGAGAATGGTGTGCGTGGGGTTGTGATACTCGTCCCGTCTGGAGTCGCGATCGTCTCCGAGGCGTAGAAACCCTCGCACGAAAACGCCCCCCTTCCTACTAGCCAACCTGTATACCGCGAAGAACGTAGAGCGTTGATAATTAAACGCGAGCTTTTTGCCGTGACGTCATTTTCATTGATGCCGACGAGCCGAGGCGGGAGTGTGGGTCGCTGGCGTAGGGGTAGCACGACGACTAAGGGAGAAGGGTGCACGGGGCTAGGTGGCTGGGCTTGTGGGTCGACGTACTATGCGGAGTCGCCGAGAATCGTGGTCGGAGCAGAACGATGAAAGGTGGGGGTAGTCAGGCGCGAACCCTCTCGATGGCCGATAGGGGTGCAGTGTATCATTATTTTGTACATAATAAATGTCTAGTATACGTCAATGTCGTTTACCGACGAACGAGGTTGAAATTAGTATTGTACAGAATATCTTGTACATATATAGAGGCTACTAAATCGGTTACCTCGATAGTTGCAACAGTTATTCTGCAATAATCAAGCATTTTTTTTTATAAGAATACACTTGATCGAATATCGACGCTTATCATTCAACCCTAAATCCATACATTATTACTGCCATAAATTTAACCATAGTCAAAGATCAAATTCGTACCTTCCATGGAAAACCAAACCACTTAACTCTACATCTTGCACGCCGGAAGAGCTAGCTTGTCTACCGCTAAGATCGAAAAGAAAAACAGCAAACGAACGTTGAAATAGAGATAAATAGCCGCAACAAAGTTCGATAATATTCGAGGCAAGTGCGGGTGGGAAATTGGGAACGTTTGGGCGGTGTGGAAGCTAGGAACGGTCCTGGGGGTAGCCCTGCCGGGTTTTCCGCAGGGGCTGCCGCGGCGTGAGAGACGTTACGTGTCGGTGGGACGGCGCGGCGCGGCGTCGCGGTGGTAGTGGTGACGGGGATAGCGGTGTGTGTAGGTCTGGAATGGAATGGAGTGGAATGGTTAGCGGAAAGTGCGACGCCCGGCGTCTCGCCGCATCGATCGACCCCCACGAACCTCGCGGAGTCGCCAGCCGCCGTGCTCTCTCTATGTACCTACCTGCCCGTTTGGCTTACACACGCGTCCCACACAGACAGACACGCGCCGGGATTCGTCTCGCGCACGGGGTGTGTCCCGGTGCACCTTGTTCCACGGAGGAATTCCCAGCGAAACGAGACGAGACGAGACGAGACGAGACGAGACGAGACGAGACGAGACGAGACGGGAATCTGGGGCTGTTTGGAAACTCGTCGGGGATCCTCTCCAGGGCGAAAGCGTTGACCTCTCCGCCGTGGATCGCGGTCTGTCGGACCTTAGAGCGCTCATGGACCACGTGGTCGCAGAACGCGTGTCTCGCGGAGATAACCAGAGATTGGGAGTCCGAAGATCTTTTGCGGGTGTTTTATTAATCGCAGACTTTATTCGTTAGGAAATGTCAAATGATGTCTGTAGACTCGATGAAGGGCGAGTTTAAGGTTACTTAAACAGGTGGTTCATTTATCTTTTCATTTATCCAGGGAATTGCGAATTGTCTTATTGAAGGAGATTAGGTAATACTCGACTAACTTATACAAGTACCTGTGATTTGTTGGTAATCATGTCTGTGCACGTTTCAACGTCATCTTCCAAGAGAGCACGTTATTCCTGTGAATGAACTTTGAATCCAAGGTCATCTCAAGGTCGTATGGTTCTCCGTTTCGGTATCAACTACCACGCTGTGGAATTACAAATACTTGGATTACCTTGAAGGTAACGACTAAACTGCGGTAATATAGAAACACACAAAAAAATTAAAATATACATAATCTATGTTCGTGTATTCTACAATTAATACAACAATATTGTTATTTCGTCTTGCATAAGAGCACGTACCATTCGGTTATGTTTGCAGTGCATCTATTATATTAGTTTGCGTATCATAAATGTATAAAATCCGCAGTCTGGTAACGAGGGAATATTCGCGAAGAAGTGTCTGGCTAGATTAACGCAGAAATTCCTCTGCCAAGATGTACACTCCTTCTGAATAGGCCGAAGATGGTGTTAAAAATCTCTGAAAAACAAAAGTCGCATTACTGACCGAAGAGTAGGCAGACCCGTTCGCCAGACTCGAAGGGTTAAAGAAGGTATCGCGTTAGACACACCCTGTACATCTTTTTGCGGCCCTTGGCCGAGCCAGTAGCACAGGTCGGCCCTATATGTAGTGATTTCCACCTGGTTCGATTCGAAACGACCGACACGTAGGGCTCGCAATCGCATGACCTCTCGTGACCTCGCCCCACGAGTGCCTCGTAGGGCGTAGGATTGGCAGGGCCACCGACGCCTTTTTCCTCCGCGTAGGGCAGCTACCCCGCAGAAGAGGAACAGGAAGAGGAGGTGGAGGAGGAGGAGGAGGAGGAGGAAGAGGAAGAGGAAGAGGAGGAGGAGGAGGAGCAGCAGCAGCAGCAGCAGCAGCAGCAGCAGCAGAGGGACGAGGGAGTCCATGAACCTTCCCCGACCAGGCTGCTGTCACGCCGATCCATCCACCCACTGCTCTGCTGCTTCCTCTTCAACCCTCGTCGCCGTTGTTCTCTCGTCCTTCTAGTCAGCGCGCTTTTTCCTCTTCCTCCATGCTCCACCACCACCTCGGGAACAACGCCGATCCCGAAACCCTACGAACCGAATGCGTAATGAATGCGCTCTACCAACAGGCCAAAGTGACGTAGAGCCATTCATCATTCAGGTTTTGTCTAATAATCTACGTGATATTTATTTGTAGTATCGAATACTATCGATCTCTAGTTCTATCATACTACGATACAATCACATCCAAAGAGTTTCAAGTGCACGAGAATCTTGTATTCGTACCAAAGCAGGTGTTTTGTGTATTTTGCACATAACCCTGATAAAAACGTTCAAGTTGTAGAGTTTTATGTATCGAAACACAACGAAATAATCCAGAGAATGTCGTATCACTCGATCTACACTTTCATATCCCCAAACGTCATTCGAATCTAGATGGTTTCTGACGTGGAATCATGGAGGCGCGTCAGAGATGTGGTCGAAAAGAATCGAGGGTGGGTGGCGGCTGCGGAGGTAGAGGGTAGACTGGTGTTCTCTCCTGGTCCAGAAAGCTGGAGAAGAAAGAGGAGGAGGAGAATGGTCGTTGAACCTCTCAGGCTCCGGCTCCGGGACGTCCTGGAATAAGCTCGATGGCCGCGGCGGTCCACAAAAATTGTCGTCGTTTTTGTCCCCCCATCCCGACACCCGTCATCTTTTTCGATTCGTTTTCTCGCGAATTCGGGGGAAACGCTTTCACTATCGTCTCGATCTCGATTATTCGGCCAATGAGAGAATTCCGCGGTTATTTTGGGATAATCGCCGCGACGGCGACGCTTCCGCGAGAATCTGCATCCGACCGCGACTAGTCGTTGAACCTCGCGAATATCCGGACGTTCCTGGCGTCCAGGCATCCGAGACACCGGAACAACTTGGTCGTTATTTAATATTTAATATTACACAAATATCAGATCCCTTCCAGCAGCTATACTTGGCAACTTTTTTTACAAAACCACATCGTAATAGAGTAACGGACCTCGAATACATTTACATAAAGAAAATGACGAAATCTACTACCACCTACTACCATCTATAGAAATAGTAACGTTAATACAGCGATTCTTCCGGCCTTTGGGCAACGCTGCGATGATTTTTCAACAACCCAAGCTAGGTGTACGGTTTTACCGCTGCCAAGTGCTCGGCGAAGCCGAAATATTCTCGGATCGATGAGTTCGCGTGTCTTTTTAAGCGCGGCCGCGTACCAATGCGGAATCGATACAGACATGCGCCAGATTCTCGCGAATATAACGGATGACCCCATAAACTGGAGAAATTGGTTTAGGTCGCGCCGACGCGACGTCGCCGATCATCGATTCCTCATTTATTTAATTAGCTAATTAACTCATTAGCTCGCACGACTGAAAGGGAAACCCTTTCGTGTAACTCACGCGTTGATATTTCGCGTTTGGTTAGAAAATGTTTGTTTCTCAAACATATTATTCGGGGCTATAGTTAGTTGGTTACAGAAGATACCAGGTAATTAGTTGCAACGACAGAAATGTCAATCGCGGTCTAGGTTGGTTCCCATGAGTTAGGTTTGCACGTGGCGGCTATAAGAGCAGTAAACGTGTTCATGCGGATACCAAACGGGAGAATTTTGACTGTTACGCGGGACATTTTTAGGGAAACTCGTTGTGAGAGTCCTGGTTCCACGTTTGGTATTCTGGGTGTTGTAGTGATCGTGATGTAAAACTTTCAGGTCTTTCGCTATTCGGCTGTTTGATTCTTTTAACGAATAGATGAATAATTAAACAGATTCGTTAATTCGCGAATCCGCTCAATTGGACAACTGATTCAATTGGGCTCCTGGAGGGGTCAGACGAACATCGGCAGTGCCGTATCATTGGAAAGTTCTAATTACAATTTGAGGAAGAAGCAAAGAAAGAACTTGTTTTTCCTAAGATATTTGGCAGACCTAGCCCAAACCTAACGTTCGTTCTAGCTTGCTATTCGTGATGTCCTTTTGAACCGTATGCAATCCACACCCCTTGGTGATCAAATCTGAAAATGGAGGTCCTGTTTGTCTAAATGATTTTTCGTTAGGACAGTGCGCCGCGGCGTTTGATCCTTTGTCGGTCACTGACACCAGAAATGGTTTGTAGCGGTGGCCGTCGATTCGACACACGGACACGTGTGTGTACGTACGCGGACGCACCACCTCTGTACCTATGCGGTTTCGACGGGCACCGTGTCTCGCGTAATCGGAATTTCATGGTTCGTTTGATAGTCCGTGCGCACAAGGACCCTGTACAGTCTGTAAACGACACGACGCGACGCCGACGCCTCGCGACATACGTCTTTCTACTCGCGCGAAATCGCACATCACGACCCAAATTTCACGCTCACGCAACACTTGACGCACGCGAACCGACTATCGTCCACTTCTATCCCCCTTAAATATACTTGTGCTCCATTTCCAAGCTGTTAAAAGATCTATATTACAAAGAATTCAAGTACATCCCGAACCACGAATAGACCACAAATAAATACACACCGACCCTCATCCTAACCCTCCCAATTCAACGATCCCAACGTTCAGATCGTCGTACGACAATGGAACTGGAAATGACCGATCGTCGACGTGTTTTTTATGCAGGCTACTTATTGACCAGGGTCGAGAAAAAGATTGGCTCGCCCGAGAAGCCTTTATCTGATCTGGGCTTGATCTCGTATCGCAGCTACTGGAAGGACGTTTTGCTGCAGTACCTCTGCAACTTTGGGGGCAAGGAACTCTCCGTTAAAGGTAATATGTATTATCTCGCAGTCCTAGCCTCAACGTCGAGGCTTCTTCGACGCTCGACCGCCGATGCGCATTGCTCGCGCGTTTTCCTATCTCGTTTGCGTGTCTTTTCAGACATCAGCAAAGAGATGGCCATCGACTCGTACGACATAGTCAGCACCCTGCAGGCCCTCGGTATGATGAAGTACTGGAAGGGCAAGCATATCATCTTAAAGAAACAGGTAAGTTTCCCCTTTCTGATTCTAATTTGTCTCGAGGGGACATACACCCGCAAGGGGATAGGGGACACCTCTCGGCCGCGAGATAACGCTCGTAACCAGCCCTCCATCGTTCTACGAACGACCGTGTCGCATCGCGTCGTATGATTTACGGGGGTAGAAAAGTTGGTCGACAAACACTCTCACCTAACGAAATTACAATCGAATCGAATCGTTCCGAAAGCATGTATAACTTGCGTATGAAATAGGGCCTAGGACTTTTGAGCGTTTTATTCGTCATCAACGCTAAAGTTACCAACGATCCCCAAAAGAACGACAGATAAAGGTAAAATCGGGAGAAACGTTGAAATAATTTCAGGACGTGATCGACGACTACAAAGAGAGGGTGAAGAGACGGGGACCCGTCTACAAAGAGATCGATCCGGAGTGTCTGAAATGGAACCCCTTCCAGCCTCCCAAGACGCCCTCCACCACAAACTAAGGTTCGCTGCAAGCAGGAGCTCAGAGTGACGCCGACGTCGGCCTTCCCCTTCTCTGTTGATTGTCGACCGAGGGCGGTGGTCGATCTCTTTCTTCGTTGCCGTCGACTTCGCCTTTCCTCTCCACCCCACCCCTCCCGTTGCTTTGCCCTGCCCGCCTCCTTTTTCCTCCTCCCCCGCAGTAGTTCCTCGCGACGGTTCCGTTCGACCGTCTCTCGCCTTTTGCGAGACTGGCCGAGGAAGCTCGCGAGCCGCGCAGATTTCACGCCCGTAACGATCCGTAAAACGCGTGAAAACCCCTTGGAACAATTCCTCTGAGACCTCTCTCGTGACCTCTGTCCAGAGGAGACCAGAGAAGCCAGTTGATCCCGGCGACGCCGACAGCGTCTCTGATTCGCTAGAATCAACTGGTCGCGTTCCTTTGACACTCGAGAAGAACGAATCCAATCGTGATAGATGCAAGAGTAAAGGGCTGAAAGCTACAATCACTCGAGTCCTTATCGAAACAAATTTTGAATAGAACAGTACTTTTTATTACTTCTACCTGGGAAACCCTGGAATTTTCTCTTGTTTACACCCTACAATTCTTATAGATCCGTCACTGGATTTACTTCACTTTTTCTCGAGTGACCGTTTTCCCGAACGTTTTATCGACTTTCTCCGGTTATATCGTCGCGTCGAAAATGTGCAAGGAACTCTGAAATATGTCGCGCTGCAGTCGCGTTGCACAGGACACGCGAAAGAGCAAGAGATACGCTATTGATCGTGCTAAGTAGCTAGCTAAAGCGAGGTGTACGGTTCGCTTTGAAACGGAGAAATTCAAGCCCTACAACACAGACTGTGCGTCGAAGCTGCTCGAACGATGTGAAAATAACTCTCGATAGCCGTCGAGAGTCAAGGTTGAACAGAATCAATTTAAACGCTCGCGACACGCGCCGATCGACGACCATTCGATAAACGTTTGAAAACGTCGACAATGGGCTTCTGCGAATGCCTCGTGCGGTTTCGCGAGCGATCGTCGACGCGTACTACATTCCGTTAATCTCTCAAGGGACGAATTTCAAATGGATTTGTTTTTTCTACCAAAGCAATCTTTGTCTCTGAATCGATTTTGTCACATACCCTTTAATATTTTATTTTATTTTATTTTACTTATTTCTAGCAGGTATCGAGTAATTTGTATAACAAGTCAAACGTACCCATGTGTGTCAATTCCCTCGAGAGGTTAAGTCAGGTTATGTCGCATACCGATGCTGCGACGCGTGCCGTTGGTATCGCTCGACCGCTCGATGCGTCCCTTTCCCAAACTTTATTTCACAAACACTTTTCACCTTAACAATCTACAACATTTATATTCTTTTACGGTCATTTACATTTTGTTAACATGAGAAATAAACAGACGAGACACATTTCTAACGACATTACTTTGTGATCATCCATAACCTTAAAATGCGATTCAAGTACACGTTACTCTACTTAAACGTTACTTTACTTTTTACGTTTTGGGAGACGCTGCCTGATCACGTTAACCGTCGAGCGTTTCGTGTACGTATTCGTCGACTAGACGATTTTAATCGATTTTTCAACCAAGAATACTGTTATTTAGTTTTATTGACTTTATTTATGTATTTGCAATCATTGTCGGCAGAGAGAAGCGTTAACCCTTCGCGGACGGCCATTTTGGATTGCAAACGTTGGAGAGACGCTCAGAAATGGCTAACAATTATTTTATTTAATGTATAAATTGTACTTTAATTTAACGGATTGCTACGTAGATTTTAAGGAAATCGATGTTTGTTAACTTATAACGACGGCTTTGTAAAGAATTGATCGTTGTGCGTCTAAAACGATGAGAATATGAGATTGTGTAGAAAGATTGACAAAATCTTATTAGAATAATAGATAGCAAATTATCATGTAATTGTCCGATTCGATAAGAAACGTGTTTTGTCAATCTTAGTAGACACCGTCCGCAAAGGGTTAAAAGAGTTGCCCTTGAAAGGTCGCACGTAGCGGACACAAGTCTTAAGTATGTTTGTATTGTACCTTGAGTACGTGGGAATGTAGCTTCAACGCGTTCACTGTCCGAATCTAATGCTCGAATACTACTAAACAGGCCCTGTCCACGGGCCAGCACACATGTCTAGGAGCTTCCCCCACTCTCCTGCGACTGCGCAGATACATGCGTGGAGTGGTTCCACTTGTCGACAGGACTGTATTATAGAACCTCCGAAAAACTAACATTTTTATAGCAATCAAATATTCCATCTTCTTTGATAGACACTAGACGTAACTGTCCCTGTAAGATAGCTACGTTTCTTCATTCTGCAAACATTTACAAATTAATCGTATGGATATTACTTATCGAATATTCGATGCACGCACTCCTGATTCAAACCACGAACCTTTTACAATTTTTTTTATCACATCTTGTGCTTTTATGCAAATACGGTCCTGAGGGTAGCGAACAGTGAACGTGTTAAAAAATCATGTAAAAAGACAAGCATCAAACGTTAGAACCAACGATGGATGTTGCATAGACTGAGAATCTTCGCCTTTAACCCTTTGCGATTGTAACATAACCCGTTGGTAGAAATTGTTTTTAGCGACACGAGTTCCCAATCTTTTTATACGCAAATAGGATTAAATAAAAAAAGTATCAAATGGGAATTAATATTTATTACTCTTGAACAGTTTTATTGTTACACATTGTTATTCTTACTATATTTTCAACCAACATACCAATGTAAATGTTATCTTAAACAGGGTGAGAACCTCTTTTATAATGAAAAATGAAAGACAATTCAAGATTATCGTGTCAAGTTTACTTAAAAATAATATTTTATCCGCATGAGTTATTACGTCATTGTGAACTACAATGTCTTTTATCGTGTTTTATTATTATTATTATTATTATACTTTGTAATTGTGTACAAGTACCGAAGACTTTATTTACAAATGCGAATGTCATCCTTTCGAAAATTCGTATCCCATTTTCCTTCTTCAGTAATTTCACAGAAATAAATATCATCATTAAGAATATTAAGGAAGAATATTATTCTACCCAAGTTAAAATTAGTTGAATCATTATCTGCAAAATTAATAGATATTCACAACGACATTTATAAAAATACAATTTTTTAACAATTTCGTCACGGAAAATACAATACACCGCGACCCCATCTACCGAACGCGTCGCTCTCGTGTCATAATCCAATAATTGTGCAAATATTTTCCTGCGACAAATTTATCATTGTGCTATGTGAATAGACAAGTGATTCAACAAAGATAGAACGTTGCAGATTTCCCGCGCGAGTAATTGCGATACTGTGTTTTGTTTCGTTAACGTTCCTCGTACGTATTATTCTTGTTGTTAAATTGCAAACGTTTTTTTCGCAAGAAACATTTTATTTCGAAACTTTTCTAGTTACTAACCACATCTCGTACGATAGTTTTAGATCTTGATTGGACTTGATTTATATTTGAAAAGGATCGAGCGAAATTCAAATGTCATTTTAGTTTCCAGAAGTTTCTTAGAGAGGACTTGTGAAAGCTATCGTTTATGCTATTCGTAGCCCTGTGGTAGCATTCGTTGGCAAAGTTGCCACCGATTTCTTTGATTATATACTTTCTAAGACATTTCTGTTTACAAACAAGTTTTTTATGTCTTCCCTGCTTTGTCTACAATATCTCTATGATACAGATACAATAAGTTACAATAAATTACACGACTCCAAAATTACGTCATTTACTATGACGAGATTCCAGTTTGTTTCAATTCTCCAACTAGATGACTCCTAGTGCAGGGACTCGATGTAATTTATTTTGTGTATGTTTCATCGACTCTCGATGCTGCTGGTACAGTTTCTCTTACGTGTACAATACTACAGTGCATCGAAACAAAGATATAACCAACGAAACTTGACAAACCTTTGGTTGCGGGTCTCGTGACCAAAATAAAAGAATGTAAGCAACCGTAAGGTAGGTAGTTTTTCGATGCTCTGTGATTTCTATTGGAACCGAAGCAAAGAGGCAAATAATTGCGTCACTCGAGCTCCTCTGTCTCGGTTCGTGCCGCCACGCGACCCCACGTAACGTCATTATCCCATTAGTTGGCGACATTACGAGGCTACACGGTTTTCCTCCTCTCCTTCGCTCGTCGAGAGAGAAACGATACTCCGCTAACAACGTATCGGTCCGACCACCTAACAACAACAGGGCGGCGCGGCGGTTTCATTTTATTTGTCGATTAAACGAATACACGACGCGCTGGAAATTAAATAAAGCCATTTGCCGAGCGGTCGTTAACCGTGTTACGAGACTGCATCGATTGGAGACCGTAAGGTCCATGTTTACATGTGCAGAAATTTTACAAACTTAACTCTTTGAGGCATGGAATTTCAAAGAAAAATAAAACTCGAGCGCCAACGACTTCTTAATACGTTTTCACTTGTTTAACGTTCAGCGTTGGTTCGTAGGCATTGCCAACTAAATGGAAAACTCTACATAAAGCTAAGCAGAAGGTGGAACGGTTTTTAATCCACCTTACCTCAAAGACGTAACTACGCGTAATTACACGGATCGCCCAAGTCTGCACCGACGTGGATCGAAAGCTAATAGATATTTGGAAATAAGCGATCGATGCATTACCAACCAAGCTAGGACATTTATTTCTTTTTCAACGAGTCGTTTCTTTTCGACCGCGAGAAAAATATGGCAGCAGGGCACAGTCATATGAATTGCGCTCCAACAGGTGCCGGGTATCGAGTTCACCAGAGCACCTGAAGAAGTACAATTAACATGCAGCCTCCCCGGGTTCTTCTCACCACCGTCTTCGTTCGGTCTTTTTATTTTCTCTCCTTTTTCACCCCTCGTCGCACGGAGCCTAAATTCCCAACGGTAAAAAGAACGATGATCCGGTTTCGCCGCAGCGCGCGCTACTTCAGGTACCTGACTGACTTTAGATGGCACAGCCTAAAGTACCCGAGTAACGCGTGTTGCATACGACACGTAGCCACGCTGGTCGGTTATATCTGTCGTAAACCTCTGATGTTTGCATTCCAATATTTGTTCTCAATAATTTCTGTAGAATTTGCAGAAAAAGCTAAGCAAAAGGTGGGACAGTTTGTAGCCTAATGAAGATTACGAAACGAAGCTATTTGGTCAGCAGCAATGTCAAGCTTCGAGTGCTTACGATTACATGGATCAGCCAATAAAAAAGAAAGTCTAAAAAAAAATTAGAGGCAGCTGACTGGAAAGTCCCCGTGATACTTGTTGAAACATGCATATCGCATGTCGAGACAAAACTCTTGCAAACGGAAAGGAAAGAGAAGAAAGACCGTCAAAACAAACAACGGTGTCTTTATTCTTCCCTTTCATTCTCTGAAATCGTATACAGTTTCATAACGGTCCAAGAGTATGTCAACGAACAGGTCACTCTAGATTATTTCTACCATTTATGGTACACCGAAACCACGAGATACCTCCCCCCACGCGAGCCCCATAGCGAGACATTGTATTCTGTAAATGAAATGTAAATAAAACCCAACGTGATCGTTGTTATTTTTTTGAAGAGCATCTTTCAAATAATTACATTTACACACTGCACCCATATACGTTGAATTTCTCTTGTACTTAGAATGCGTTTTCGTTTTTAACGTTGTAAATAAAATCGTGAAATAAAAGTAGCTAAATAAAAAACGATTATACGGCTTGGCGAGCAATTGGAATCCGCGGTTCGAGTTCCTTCGCAACAGCCGGCACATCGTGACATTGAAACTTGTGCCACTCTCGTTGGTAGAGGTAAAGGAAAGTCTCTCCCCCTCTCTGTCACTCTCTCAGTTGGCTCTTTGGCCGTTGTTCGTCGACGAGCAACGATAATAGGCCGGGAAACGTCGACGAACGCGGAGCGAGGGGCAAGAGCTCGATGGAATCAAAGCGAACGAGCCAGACAGAGGGAGTGGGAGGAACGAAAGAAGAGAAGCGCGACAGCGTCGGAACGAGATAAGGGGAAAGGATCGAATGGATCGCGGGTCGACTGGTAGGGATGAAAGTCAGAGGAGGGATTGAAGAGGGCAAGGTTGCGAACAGACGGTGACGACCATCAGCCAACCACAGTTGGCCGTGCACGCAATAAAATACGTAAATGTTTGGTTCTTTTGTCGAAATTTTCCTCAAAAACTTGCTCGCGATCCAAAATTGGAGAGGATTTTTTATTCGAGTAACAATAGCCGGAGAAACGGATACGGCAGTGCTGGCTCTATTTTCGACTCCAGTTCAAAACAGATTCGCTTATTCGTCTCTTTGGTACATTTTAAATACATAGAATTTGGTAGATGTACATAGAAAAGTAAGTGATTTCAGAAACCCTTCCTTGTTTCCCACAGTTTCTCGGCTCCCTCAACTAACCACCAAACACTCACAGGGGTTCACGCCATTGGCCATCCAAGTGCCATTCACTCGTACTTTACGTGTACCGAAACGTTTCTCAGAGAACTCGCGATAATCGCGAGACATTTCGTAGGCAAACTTTGGTCTTAGTCGAACCTGAGTGCCGACATCGCTTACGGAATACTAAACGCTCCGACGTAATTCTTCGAGATAAGTACACGCGGTGAGAAATGGTGCTTTTAGACTTGAACGAAAATTGTCCAACATTTACGACGGAGCCATTTCAAAGATAGGAATCGTGCCTTTGATAACCGATCGAGTCATGAACGTTATGCGGCTAATCAGTGTGTTACCTTACAGCCATTTTCAGTACATGCCAATCATGAAAAGCTCTTGAAAATGTCTCTAAATAATTGAGGTAATTGCGGAATGCGAATGCTTGTAGTTTATAGTAACGTGGACAGAATGTTTCATGACGTACAAACAAGGTACTTAATGATAAAGTATTTTATAATTAACTCTTCAAAATTAATCAAATACGTTTATATAACGTATTTCTACGTCACGCGTACACACATTCCATAAATTCTTTTGCGACCTTTGTGCGATTCACGTTTGTAATAACTGTATCAGATTATCTTAAAATCATGTCGACGCGACAACTTTGACGATCCATCTCTAAATCTATGACACAAATATAATTAGGAAAATGTATGCGAGTTTTGTGGGCCATTTGTCACTAAAATCAGCCATTACTTCACAACCTGTAGATAGTTTATTTATTTTGGTGTCAAGTCGTTACATTCGTTCCTAGTATACAGTCTGACATCCCAAAGATTATGGATATCAACCATTGTTTACAAAGAAATTTTGAACAAGTTTATGTCCAATCTCGCGTAAAATAAAAACCTACGTTTCATTCCATCGGCCATTTATAATTGTATTCCTGTGAATTCTATAAATACGAGCCCCCGCTGCACTGATTTACTAACGGCTCGTAACGCTGTAAAGACGGCCGCGAAGGAGGACCGTTCGAATGTTCAACGAAAAGCTTCTAAAAAAAAAAAAAAAAAAAATGAAGGACTGTAAGAAACTCGATTCGAAGATATATATGTGCAAAGGGAAAAGCCTTTCACGATTCGAACGTCGATCGTTACCGGAAGTCTACGAACCACGCAACCGACAGGGGAGTCTCCGTGTGTAGGACGTGTCTGTGTGTGTCGCGCAACGACCGTTAAGAAACTTCCGCTAGTAGGTACGATGTGGATGAGTCAAGATTA